CATTTGTCAGCCTTGGCCTCTAAGATTTCATCCTCTGAACTAGTTGATGACTCGTTTTTCTTTGGCTCTTGTAGAGCCTTAAGGTTGTTTTTCTTTTTTAGTTTTTTAGATTTTTTGGGTTTTGTCTTGCTTTCGGGGCTTTTAACTTCTTCCTCACTATCTAGGGAAATAAGATCCTCTCCCTGTTCTTTTTCAATTTTAGAATCCTTGGTTAGATCTGAGGTGGCTACAGCCTCCTCCTGGGGTTGATCATTTTGCATGATCTGCTCTCCCTTAGCAACCATAAGGACAAGAGCTTCTATTAAGCTCTGAATGGATATTTTATGCTGACTAACCTTTTGTCCCATTATTACCCGTACTTAAAATAAAACGTAAGTAAATACTTACCAGGATGTCTTCTCTTCGTCCTTCTATAGTTTTCGCCAGCCTTTCTCGGAATGACTCTCTGCCATTCCCTTCTGGACGATTCTATGCCATCCTGTCTGTTTTCCACCGTGGCTTTTCTGGGCTGCTCTGCACTGGAGTCTTTCTCGGGAGCTCTTCACTGGATCCCTCGTACCCAAGTCTGTGTTCAGGCACCACGTGTCCCAGTCCACAGGACAGTAGAACAGGTTCCTTGGGGGAGGGAGTGAGAGATGGGACAAAACCACGCACACACACTGTGAGGTGCTGATCAAGTAGTCTTCTTCCATCCACTTCCGTTTATTGAGGAGAAATGGCGAGTTATATACAGCTGGTGGGAACCAATTGGTTGCCCAAAATGCAAATGAGATAGAACAACATGAACCAATCATTGATGTGGGGGGATCTCTCCCATTGCCTAGAAACCCAACCACTTCCGGGGAGAACGGTTGGTCACATGATTTCTGAGAAACGATTTGCTCAGTGAGGAAGTGAAGCCTAATGGTTTCCAAGATGGTGGATAGCTCGAGATGGCTTCCGTATGCAGTGCTCTCCACAAAGGACATTTGGAGGAGGGATACAGAGGCAGAGCATTGATGGGATGGGGAGGCATGGTGTTATTGGTTGAAGATATTTTGATCAACTGGACTGGGGAGAAATGTTCACATATTGAAATGTTCACTTTGTAAGCTAAACAATGTGATTGAAAGTACACAAAAAATAAAAAAAAAGAACACATGGATTTCTCTACATTATTTATTATCAATACATGTTAATCTATCATTTTTCCCCAAATAAGAAGTTTAATCAAAAATAGAAATCAAAAAACTAAAAAAAAAAGAACATTAAAGAGACAAAATAATGGAAAGTTAATCTCTTTGACTTGCTTGACATGCAATGCATTTGTGTGTTGAGAACTCACATTGTATACTGTAAAAATGTACAATGATTAAATGGAAATGACATAAAATTAAAACACAAACTTAGAAAATAAAGGGAACCACATGAACTATTTCCTTTACACTTGGAATTCTGACATATTTCTGTTTCTTTTCTTTGGACTGATACTTCCTTTCTGTTTGTTCCATGCCTACAAACTGAGACCTGGAGACATCTTGATGAAGTTTTAGTCAAAGCTTCATTCTTACTCAGTTCATGATTTAACTCTCCTGAGTCCTGTTACTATAATGTAGAATAAGTTTGCTAATAGTGTGTCCTACTGGTGTGGTATCATGTAAATATTAAATGAAATAAAGCATATAAGTTTCTAACTTCAGTCCACTGTGAGCAAAAAGGTCCACATATATCTCTTGTAATTACCAAATGTTACGTAAATGAAACACTAAATGACAATTCTTTTTTTAATTTAAAAAATATTTTTAAGGTTTTTTTTTTTGTGTGTGGCCTTGCAGGGAGTGAGAGAGAGAGAAAGATGAGAGAGAAAGAGAGAGAGAGATACAGAGAAAAGAAATGTGAGAAATCTGTCCCTAGCAGGATGGCCATGCTGCAATTCCTTCTCCACTAGTCTTCTGTCAGGATTTTGAACACACACATATACGTGCCCAGTGTGATGTTCAAGCCAATGGGCTTGGGACTTGAGTCATGCATTCAGCCAAGGGGGATCCAGCTCCTTAACCTCCATGCCACCTGCTAAATGGGGACAATTAAATTGTACTCAACAGTTAGTGTAACATTCTAAAGACCTGTGGTGGCAGGATAGTTTCCAGAGAACATGTACTAAAGACTGGATTCATCACAATTTCATCTTAGTCTCTCAAGAGCAGCAAATCAACAGAAAAATGTTCTTTTCTTTCCAGACCAGTGTCCACAAGGGAAGTCAGCCACTAAGTGGTTGTTGTTATAAGGAGGAAATGTACATGTACCTAATGAGCTGATATAGGGAGCTGTAAATATTTCATCTGTCAATGTCCCTAAAGGAGTATAGCCCTGGGCTGGACACAACATGATTGATTTTTGTTGGACTCTCCAGACTGGCTAGGATTCCATGCTTAATTCTTTCATTTTGTTTTGTCTGGGGACAGAGCTTCAGTCTCCAAGAACTTCACCATTTCACAAGAAGACTGTCTTCTCATAGGATTCCATGCTTAATTCTTTCATTTTGTTTTGTCTGGGGACAGAGCTTCAGTCTCCAAGAACTTCACCATTTCACAAGAAGACTGTCTTCTCAGAGAGCCCATACAGGTGAGTCTGAGAGTCAGGTAGGTTCTGCAGGACTGTTCATAGAGAATGGATGCCAATGACATCTACCTGAGATCCCCATAGAGCCAAACCAACCAAACAGGAGCTGAGATATAATGCGTTTGGTTACTTATCTGACTAATTTATTCATCATTAATTTATTTAATATGTTAACAAGCCATGTGTCTGTCAGACTTAGCTTGTAGGCTAATTGGACTATTTAGTGATGAGAGTAGACATCCTGTTGGATTAAGGTGAAGAAGGAATGAGAGAAATAAAATTATTTCAGTCAACCTAGAACATGTGAACAGAAATTTGCAGTTCATGAAGTAGGAAAAGCAGAAAATCAGAGTTGTGATGAGATGTGCAATGACTTTAGGGTCCGATAAGGAGTTTTGGAAATTAGTGCATTTATGCATGTTTTGGTATTTTTTGAAGGATCGAGAGGAATGAATTCCTTGCAATTCATACCTTGCAACTGTAGTTCATGAGACATATATTTCACAATTTCTTCTTTCACATTGGGTATTCACATAAAAATTTAATTCTCATGTTAAAATGGGAATATTGAAGAGTTTTCACTGACAGCTATTTTCTGGATGGTGAAATTAAATAGTTTTGTGAGTCTGTTAACTTTTTACTTTATTGCAAATCAAGCCACTGTTTTTTGTTCTGGGGTCTGAGTATATATTTTTTTTGATATTTTTCTCTTAATAGTGAATTATCATTTTAAAATAAAAATTTCAGGATACTTTTGAATTATTTTTATGTATATATATGTGTGTGTGTGCGTGTGTGTGTGTGAATTTGGAAAGTTAATAATTTAGTGTTATCAAATCTAATAGTCCATCACATTGTGTACACAAATGCACTCCAAATTTTTATTAACGTAGAAAAATCCATCTATGTCAGTAATAAGCACAAAAGCCTTTTTTTGGCCACATTTTCACTGTAGGGCGCGTGCGCTTGCCAGACAGACAGAGAGAGAGACATAGAGACAGAAAGCGAGAAATCACCCCCCAGAGGGGATGGTCACGCCGCAATCCCTTCTCCTCCATTCTTAGGATTTTGGGCACACATGCAAACACGTGTCCAGTGTGATTTTTAAGACCTAGTTTTAGGTCTCAGACCATGATTGGCCATATTGGAGTCCAGCTGACTATCATAATGACTATGATATCTGCTTGCCCCCCAAATTATGATCTCATAATACAGTGGTCTCAATACTAATCAACAGAAAAAATTGAGGAGAGAACTATTTTCATTCATGGAAAATGTAAACTAAAATACTGAGTGATGCCACTTAACTAAGATATCTGAAGTAGTCAATGCCATAGAAGAAGACAACACAATGGTGGTTGTCAAAGATTGGTGAAAGAGGAAACAAGTTGTTTTCAATGGATATAAAGTTTTAGTTATTGGGTCAGCTGGTGGTGTGATGGTTAAGACTGTTGGATCACACATGGTCTACTGTCAGTTAAAAGCCCAGACCTGGCAGATTGAAAAAAAATGCCAGGCATGTATGTATGCACTACCAAGATCTTGAGTGAATAGTGTATTGTGGCATGGCCATTCCCTGTTGAGAGTGATCTCTCACATTCCTTCTCTCTCTGTTTCTCTGTTAGGTGAATGCATCTGTCCAATAGGAAAACTAAACCAAAACCAAACCTTACTGATACATCATATTTTACTCCATAAATATGTACTACTATTATTTGTCAAGAAATAAATATGTTAAAAAAACATGTAGATACCTGATCTATGGGAACAAAGAAGTGAGATAAGAAGTACAGGAAGAGATGACACTATGAAAGCCTAAAGGGGATTAAATCCATACAAAAACATAGAAAATAACATTGCGACCACAAAATATTAATGATGGCATTTCAGTTCTGTGAGTAATTCCTGTTTGTGTGAAATTAGTTATCTCATTTTCCTCTTTTCAGGTAGTCATCATGGAACCAGGAAATGATATACAAATTTCAGAATTTCTTCCTCTGGGACTTTCAGAGGAATTAGAATTGCAGCCCCTCATATTTGGGCTTTTACTCTCCATATACCTGATCACCGTGTGTGGAAACCTGCTCATCATCCTGGCCACTATCCTAGACTCCCACCTGCACACCCCCATGTACTTTCCCTCTCCAATCTGTCCTTTGCTGAAATCTGTTTCACTTCCACCACCTTCCCAAAGATGCTGGTGAACATCCAGACACAGAGCAAGGTCATCATGTATGCAGGCTGTATCACCCAGGAGTTCTATAACACAGTTTTCTTAGTATTGGATGACTTCTTCTTGACAGTGATAGCCTATGACCAGTATGTGGCCATTTTTCACACCCTGCACTACACGGTCATCATGAATCCCTGCCTTATTGAAAGTGGTTCTGGCATCCCACATCATGAGTGTCCTGTATTCCTTGTTTCAAATCTTAATGGTGTTATAGTTGTCCTTCTTTGTACATGTGGAAATCCCCCACTTTTTCTGTGAACTTAATCAGATGGTCCACCTTGCCTGCTCTGACACTTTTCTTAATAACATGGTGACCTATTTTGCGTCTGTGCTGCTGGGTGGTGGTCCCGTCACTGGGATCCTTTATTCTAAGATACTTTTCTCCATTTGTGCAATCTCATTAGATCAAGGGTGGTACAAAGCTTTTTCCACATGTGCCTCTCGCCTCTCAGTTGTCTCCTTATTTTATTGTCTGAGTCTAGGAGTGGACCTTAGTGCTGGTGTTATCCACTGCTCACTCTCAAATGCAGCAGCTTCAGAGATGTACACTGTGGTCTCCCCCATGCTGAACCATTTACTCTATAGTCTAATGAATAAAGACATAAAGAGGACTCTGAAAATAGTCTTGGGAGGGAAATTTTGTGGAAGAAAGATAAAGTCATCACACTTTCATCTTGGTCTCTCGAGAGAAGTAAATCAGGAAAATGTTATTCTTTCCAGACCAGTGTCCACAAGGGAAATCAGGTACTAAGAGGTTGTAGTTGTAAGGAGGAAATGTACCTAATGAGTGACTATAAGGAGCTGTACATAATTCATCTGTCATTGTCCCTCAAGGAGGACAGCCTTGGGCTGGAGAAGACAAAGTTGATGCTTTCTGAATCTCTAGTCTGGCTAGGGGACCATGCTTAATTCTTTCATTGTGTCTTGTCTGGGGACAGAGCTTCAGTCTCCATCATCAACAACCCAAGGAGAAATTCACTCTTCCACAAGAAGACTGTCATCTCTGAGAGCCCACACAGGTGAGTCTGGAGCCTGGTAGGAACAGCAGGAAAGTTCAGAGAGAATGGATGCCAAGATCCTCTACCTGAGATTGCTTCAGGGCCAAACCAGCCTAGAAAGACCTGAGAGAGTGATACATTTGGTTACTTGTCTGACCAAGTTATTTCTCAGTAATTTATTTAATATGATTATAAACCATGTATCTGGCAGACTTAGCAATACAGGCATCATTGTGGACAATTTAGTGATGGGAATAGACATCCAATTGGATGAGGATGAAGATGGAATGGGAGAAATAAATTATTTCAGTCAAATTAGAAAATGTCCACAGAAATGTGCAGTTCATGAAGTAGAGAAAATAAAATAAGAGTTGTGATGAGATGTGCAATGACTTTCAGGTGTCTTAAGGCTTTTTTAATTTTTTGGGGGGGAGAGGTTTTCGCTATAGGGCACGTGCGCTCGCCAGACAGACAGAGAGAGACATAGAGACAGAAAGCGTGAAATCACCCCCCAGGGGGGATGGTCACGCTGCAATCCCTTCTCTTCCATTCTCCTCCTGGAATCTCGGGCACGTACACACATACGCGCCCAGAGTGAGTTTAGCCACCGGGACCAGGACGCGAATTGCTGTCGACTATATGGGAGTCCAGTGACATAGCCATTATGCTAACTGCTGGTTACCTCTTAAGGCATTTTTTAAATGAGTGTATTTGTGTATATTTCTGTATTTTTTGGAGGATCCTTATGAATAGATTGCTTGAAATTCATACCGTACACTGATACTCCATGAGACTTACGTTTCAGAATTTCTGCTTTCACATTGGTCATCCACATAAAAATTTATTCAAAGGTCAAAATAGTTACATTAAAGAGTTTTCACTTACAACTATTTACTTCCTGATGAAGTGGAATATGTTTGTGGATCTGTTTATATTTTATTTTATTTATGCAGGTTTTATGTTCTGGTGTATGCATGCTTTTTATTCTTTCAATTTTTTTCTTTTAAATAATGCATTGATGTTTTTAAATCAAATCATCAGAATGTCATTGTATTACTTTACTTATAGGTATATATTGGGTGAATGTGAAACATTAACAGATTTTGTGTTATCATATATAATAGTCAACCCTAATTTCTTACACATCCATCTCTCTATAATTTTTATTAAGTTAGAAAAATTCCTCTTCACCAGTAGTAGAAACAAATTATCTTGTATTTATATTTTCATCTTATTTCTCATTTATTTTTTCTTATTGTCTTTTGCCTATTATGATTAATTTTTTAAATTTAGTTTTGAGTTCCATTTTTAAAGATGAGTAATTGCTTTATATATTTATGGGGTACAATGTGATGCTGTGATATAGACCCACATACAATGTGCAATGATTAAACTATGATAAACTACAATGATTAAACTATGATAAACTACAATGATTAAACTAGGTATGTTATTTAACTGACCTTCATATACTGATTATTTCTTCATGGTAAAAATGTTTCAAACCTCCTATTTCAGAGCTAACAGGAGGCACTGGACTCTCATATGGTCAAGTGTGATTGAGTCCTGAACCTTGTGTCTTGCTTTCTCATTCTCTCTCAGTGTCTCATTCTGTTGAGTGCACATACTCTACATCAAATTAAAAAAATAATAAATTAAACTAAATACATTATTCTAAAAGAACTGATTCTGGAGCTAATGTAGGATAGATATATGTACCATTACAACATCTCTCTAGCCATTGTGAGCCTAGCTAGGAAAAATGACACAGAATTAAATGAAATAAAGAAAGCAGTATATTAAATAAGTACATGCAGGACGTGTTCATTTCATTTAAGAATGTTTTTTAAAAAAATTTAAAAGAAGCTGACTTCACAAGTTAAGTGATGTACAGTGATTGTATAAAATAAAATGTATTAAAAAAAGATGATTGAGGTTGTTCTGAGAGAGTAGATGTTCTTGAGGAGAGGGGATAAAAAATTTCAAATATACCAGTGACAGAGACTCCAAGCAGAGGGAAGCACATTATGTAAAAGGAAGTATTGAAGTTCTGGAGTCTGGTGAAGCTTAAAATGAAGTTCAGTGTTTGGGAGATTAGTATGGGCAGGGGTGGGAAGGGTAGAAGTAAGAGATGCTTTACTTTTTATTTTATTTTAGTGTTTTTTTCTTTTTATTATGTAAATTATTATTATTATTCTCATTTTAAAAAACAAGATTCAATTGTTATACATCACTTGGCTTGTAAAGAGAATTTACCCAACATAAAATACATTTCAGGCCATTCTAACTGAGAATACACATTATCATCAATAGGTCATTAATCATTTCTGTGTCCCACAAATGTCTTGCCTCTCTATTTTTTCTCCCTGACTTCCTACCCTACACTGTTCCCTTCTTCTAACCTTCTTCCACACTGTCTCCAGAATCCATAACAATTTTCACTGTTTTTATGTCCTCCAGTCTTTAAATCTCTACCTTAGGGTGCAGACAGTCAGTGTATGTTAAGTGTGGAGATATAATGTCTCTTTTCCATAGCCTGGCTTATGTCACTCAGCAATAAATCTTCTATATTCAGCCACTTTCTATCAAATGCTAGGGTCTTTTTGTTTTTATGGCTGAATATTATTCCATTGACTATATGCACCACACTTTTCCAATCTACCTATCTGTTCATAGACATTTGGCATGGTCCATGTATTAGCAATTGTGAATAATGCTGTAATAAACAATGATGTGCAAGTGCTTTTCCAAATGAGCATTCTCCTGTCCTTTGGTTATTTTAAAAATTTTCTTATTTTTGAAAAAAGTTTATACATTCAATCATTATACATCACTTAGCTTGTAAAGTGAAACTTCACACCAGTCTAGTTGAATATAGTATACATGTTATCATCAACAGAAAATAATCCATTTCTGTTTCTCATAAATATCTTACCTTTCTATTTTCCTCCTTAATTTGTTTCCACCATAGGTCATGTGTGCTTACTGGAGAAAGACAGACAAAGACAGAGTGGGAAAGTGAGAATTCACTTCCAAGAAGAATGACCATACCACAATCCCTTCTCCATTTTTCTCTTGGGATTGTGGGCATGTGCATATGGATACAGTATGATTCTTATGCTGCTAGTTCTTGGGCTTGAACTGTGGTCAGTCATATGAGAATCTAGTGCCTGAATCACCACACCACTTGCTGGTCCCAGAGGTGCATTCTTTGTGGGGAATGGAGTCACGTGTTTGAAGCTATTCATGGAAGAGGTGAGTTTTTCATGGAGAGTCAAGTCCTGTGTTTGAAGCTATGAAATTTCTCCTTCATTCGCTTCTGGGGAGTCACTGAGGGCTAGATATGAGACGCAAAACCCAGTCTTCTGATTCTGTTAGTTTTTAATTAAACATAATTCCACATACTTTTACTCTTTTAAAAAAGATCTTCTAATATGTTGTATTTTGGATAACTCCTTTTGAGATTTGCAGGCTTATTGTCTTTGCTTATTGTTATCTTGGGGAGTTCAATCTGTAAGAGGTCCAATCTATTCTATATCAAAAATGTTAATGTTAGCTGTTTTTTTACTTATGATGGGCATACAGAGATGTAACTGGGCTTGACCTACTTCAGGATCAAGGGAGTTTTCTCTTCATCACATCTCTCAGGGCCACCTGAGCTTATTAGATATTTTTCCCTTTCTCATATACTTTCTTCCTCATTTTTTGGGATGAGTATTTACTATAGGATGTGTGTTGCCAGAAAGAGACAGACAGAGAGAGAGAGGGAAAGTGAGAAATCATATTTTAGGGAGGATGGCTACTCTAAAATTCCTTATTCTCCATTCTCCTCTTGGAATATTGGACATGCATTCACAAGTACCCAGGGTTATTTTCAAGCTGCCAGGTTCAGTAGTGGAACCATGGCCAGTCATGTGGAAATCCACTGCCTGAATGACCATGAACCTACTGACCCTTTATTCTTCATTTTTATGTATTTTCTTTTAGAAGTTTTAGCTTTAGTGTGCTGAGCTTGCCATAGAGAATGAGAGAGACAGAGAAAACGAGAGGGAAAGTGAGAAATCATTCCCCAAGATGGATGGCTATGCTGGAATCCCTTCTCCATTTTCCTCTCAGGATCTTGGGCACACATGCACATGCACCCATTGTGACTTTCAAGCCAGAGGGTTTAAGACTCAAACCATGGCCATCCATATGGGAGTACAGTGATGTAAACTCAATGCCACCTTCTGGCCCCCTTTATTTATTTTTATTATTATTTTTTTAATGAGCAGATATTTCTGTCTCTTTGCAAAAAATATGTGAACTCTTTACAAGCTAAATGATCTATGTGAGCAAAACGTTAAATAAACGATAAGAATGATAAAAATAGAATAAAATAAAAAAAGTAAAAAACAACAAATTGTGAAACAGTCATGTTAAAAGGAAGGTCCATGTTTCTTGTCTATGGAAAGCTTAGCAACTGGAATTTGGGCATCATTCCTACATTTTTTAGGAAAAAGATGATTTGGTATTGAGGAATGGTCTGGAATCCATTCTTTTGTTAATCAACATGGCCGAGGAATCTGGAGGTTATAGTTTGGTGTGTGTCTTAGAGGTATGTGTGCTAGTGTGTATGTGTGTATGTGTATGTGTGTGTGTATGTATGTATGTATCTGCTTGTGTTGTGTAGAACATGAGCAGACCTCAGAACATGCTTACCTGATCTCTTAAATTCCAAATTATGACTCTACCATTAGGACACCTGCTGGTCCCACAAATTATGACTCTTATAACACAGATTTTGAGTATTTACCAACAGATAAAAATAAGGAGAGGTCTAGTGTGACCCATGGAAGACCTTTAAAATAAAATACTGTGTGATGCCACTAAGATATCTGAAGTAGTAAAAAAAAAAATAGATGCACACAACAGAATGGTGGTTGCCAGGGGATTGGTGAAAGGGAGTAAGAGAGAGTTTCAATATATGTAAATTTATAGTTACTGGGAAAGCTGGTGGCATGGTAGTTGATGCTGCGAAACCCAACATGGCAGACTGTGCAGGTCAAGTCCAAGACCTGGTGGTTTGGAAAACATGCCAGGCATGTGTACATCCATGTCAATATGTAAAAATATAAAACATAACTTTGTGACTTAAAAAGTCTGACTATGGCATTTCAACTATGCAAATAATACCGGCTCATGGGAAATTAACTATCTTATTTTCCTCTTTTCAGGGAGTCACCATGGAACCAGGAAATGATACACAAATTTCAGAATTCCTTCTTCTGGGATTTTCAGAGAAACCAGAATTGCAGCCCCTCATATTTGGGCTTTTCCTCTTGATGTACCTGATCACTGTGTGTGGAAACCTGCTCATCATCCTGGCCACCATCTCAGACTCCCACCTGCACACCTTCATGTACTTCTTACTCTCCAACCTGTCCTTTGCTGAGATATGTTTCACCTCCACCACTGTCCCAAAGATGCTGGTGAACATCCAGACACAGAGCAAGGTCATCACCTATGCAGGGTGCATCACCCAGATGTACTTTTTCCTAGTCTTTGCAGCATTGGATGACTTCCTCCTGACTGTGATGGCCTATGACCGGTATGTGGCCATCTGTCACCCCCTGCACTACACGGTCATCATGAACCCCTGGCTCTGTGGAAAGCTGGTTCTAGTGTCCTGGATCATGAGTGTCCTGCATTCCTTGTTACAAAGCCTAATGGCATTGCGGCTGTCCTTTTGTATGCATGTGGAAATCCCCCACTTTTTCTGTGAACTGAATCAGGTTGTCCACCTTGCCTGTTCTGACACCTTTTTAAATGACATGGTGATGTATTTTGCAGTTGTGATGATGGCTGGTGGTCCCCTCATTGGGATCCTTTACTCTTACTGTAAGATAGTTTTCTCCATTCGTGTAATTGCATCTGCTCAGGGGAAGTACAAAGCATTTTCCACCTGTGCTTCTCACCTCTCAGTTGTCTCTTTATTTTATTGTACAGTCTTAGGAGTGTACCTTAATGCTGGTGCTACCCACAGCTCACACTCAAGTGCAGCAGCCTCAGTGATGTACACCGTGGTCATTCCCATGCTGAACCCCTTCATCTACAGTCTGAGGAATAAAGACATAAAGAGAGCACTGAAAATACTCTTTGGACAGATGTCGTGAAAAAAATCATTAGCTTGCAGCTGAAATAATGCCCATAATTGCAAAGTTTAAAGCCAGTAGTTGTGATTCTCTAATCAGATTATAAACTACATGTCTGTACAATTGAAGTAACACTGTATTCAGCTTTCTACATTCTCTCATATCCAGTCAACTTTTAAAAATATCTTTATACTTTCTCAACGTTATTCCTAGCATTGTGTCATTATCATGATTCTTAGCCTCTGAAAGAATCATTATCTCATAGAATGACATGCAACTCTTTTCTTTTTTTATTCTAGAATTATTTTTATCTAATTTAATGATGATTTTTTTTATTTGACCAGAGAGAGATAAAGATCAATACTAAAAATGTGTGCCACCAGTTCTGGGACTCAAACCATAATTATCCACCTTGGAAGCCAGTTCCTTAGCCACCAGGCTATCTTCTGTCCCCCTGTATACAACTCTTAAAAAGAATGTATTCTCACATGATGTTCATGATTCTGAGCAATTTTTGTATGTTACTCATATAAATTTTGGGGATTTATTCTGTCTGTGGAAAAGAGAACGACAACTAGTAAAACAACTAGAAAACAGAAAAAAAAACCCACATTTTATTTGGCAATTAATGCAATTAATATAGATTATAGAAACATCTGAAACTGCAGATTTTCATGTGTGTGCATGTCTTTGCTTCCAGTATCTCTATCTGAAATGTAGACTTTAATATATTAGTGTATTTGATTATCTGTAATTTGCTTATTAAATTCCTGTTCTGTTACTCAGCTCAGAGTTCACATTGCCTACTGTCATCACTATAAAAACTTGGTGATCAGCCCAGATTCTGTGGTGCAGCTATAGCATACCAGAGTATAGAGGTGGAAGCCAAGTGAGGACTCCGGTTTAAGTCCCGAGTTGAGTCAGCCTGAAATCTCACTGGATGGGTGTGTGCCCAGGATCCAGAGAACTGGAGGACTGGAAGAAGGGAGTCTCAGCCTGCCTGTGCCCTGTAGATGGTGCTTCTGTCTCTTTATGTCTGTTTCTCTGTCTGTCTCCCTCTTGTTCTCTCTCTCCTCGTGTGCGTCAACACATTCTGTTATGAATAAAAATAAATTTTATCAGTTTCCTGAGTCAACATGTTTTGTATATGGAAAGTCCAATCCAAACAAATAGTTGAAAAAATATGGCCTTAGAGTCAGAGATAGACTTAAATATGATGAAGTGAACATTTCAATCACACATTGTATTAACTATGCACTGTGTTTCTTTCTTTTTTCTTTTTTCCTTTTTTTTGGAGAGGTTTTTGCTATAGGGTGTATGCGCTCACCAGAAAGACAGAGTCAGAGAGATAGAAAGTGAGAAATCACACCTGGGGGAGGAGGGATGGCCACGCTGCAATCCCTTCTCCTCCATTCTCCTCCCGGGATCTTGGGCACATATGCACATGCGCCCGGCATGAGTTTAAGCCACCATGTATGGGACTCGAACTGTGGTCTAATACATGGGAGTTCAGCGACATAACCATTATGCTAACTGCTGGTCCCCAACTTGGTCTCTTGAGAACAGCAAATTGGCAGGAAAATTTTCTTTCCAGACAACTGCCCATAAGGGAAATCAAGGACTTAGAGGTTGCAGATATAAGGGGGAAATGGTCCTAATGAACAGATATAGGAAGCTGTAAATATTTCATCTGTCATTGTCCCTCAGGAAGTATAGCCTTGGGCTGGACAAGACATAGTTGATGTTTTTGGAATCTCCAGTCTTGCCAGGAGACCATGATTAATTCTCTTATTGTGTCTTGTCTGGGGACAGAGCTTCAGTCTCAATGGTCAACCATCCAGGGAGAAATTCACCCTTCCACAAGAAGACTGTCCTCTCTGAGATTCCATGCAGGTTGAGTCAAAGAACCTGGTATGTACTGCAGGTATGGTTCACAGAGAAAGGATGCCAAGGACATGTACCTGAGATCAGCCTATCTAGAGCTGAGAGACTGATGCATTTGGTTACTTGTCTGACCAAGTTATTTCTCAATAATCTATTTACTATGTTAAGAAGCCATGTGTCTGTCAGATTTAGCAATGCAGGCATCTTTGTGGTCAATTTAGTGATGGGAATAGACATCCAATTAGATGAGAGAAGATGGAATGGGAGAAATAAATGATTTCAGTTAAATTAGAAAGTGTTGAAGAAATTTGCAGTTCAAGAAGAAGGAAAAATAGAATCAGAGTCGTGATGAGATATGCAATGACTTTGGGTCTCTTAAATTTTTGAGATGAATGTATTTGTGCATATTTCTCTATATTTTGAAAGATCGGATGAAAGTATTGATTGTAATTCATACCATACAACTGTATTTCATGAGACTTATATTTCACAATTTCTCCTTTCATATTAGGAATTTACACAAATTTATTCAGAGGTCAAAATGGGATTATTAAAGAGTTTTAACTCACAACAATTTTCTTGCTGGTCAAGCTGAATGTGTTTGTGGATCTCTTTTCTTATTCCTTCATTGAAAATTATCAAGTTTTTATGTTCTGGTGTCTGACAGTTGTTTTTTTAAAAATATTTTTCTTTTAAGTAATGCATTGATATTTTTAAATCAAATGACCAGAATACCATTGTATTAGTTTTACATATGATATATAGGGTGAATATGAAAAGTTAACAGATTTTGGGAACCAGCAGTTAGCGTAATGGCTATGTCGCTGGACTCCCACGTAGTCGACCGCGGTTCGCGTCCCGGACCCGGTGGCTTAAAACTCACGCCGGGCACGTGTGCGTGCGTGCCCATGATCCCGAGAGGAGAATGGAGGAGAAGGGATTGTGGTGTGACCATCCCCCCTGGGGGGTGGTTTCTCTCTTTCTGTCTCTATGTCTCTCTCTGTCTGTCTGGCGAGCGCACGCGCCCTATAGCGAAAATCTCTCTCTCTCAAAAAAAAAAAAAAAGTTAACAGATTTTGTGTTATCAAATATAATAGTCAATCCTATTGTGTGCACACCCATTCCTCCCAAATTTTTAACTTAGAAAAATTGCTCTTCATTGGTAGTAGAAATAAATCACCTTTTATACATATTTACGTATCATTTCACATTTATTTTTCCTTTTTGTTATCTTTTGCCTGTTATGATTAATTCTTTTTTTAATTTAAATTTTGAATTCCATTTCCAAAGATGAATAATTACTTTATATATTTATGAGGTACAATGTGATTCTGTGATATATAAATGCACACAATGTGCAATGATGAAACTATGATGAACTACATTGATTAAGCATAATGGTCTGTGGGGGACCAGCAGTTAGCATAATGGCTATGTCGCTGGACTCTCATGTAGTCGACCACGGTTCGAATCCTGGACCCAGTGGCTTAAACTCACACAGGGTGCATGTGCATGTGTGCCCAAGATCCCAAGAGGAGAATGGAGGAGAAGGGATTATGGTGTGGCCATCCTCCTTGGGGGATGATTTCTCACTTTCTGTCTCTGTCTCTCTGTCTTTCTGGTGAGCACTTGCATCCTATAGCAAAAACCTCTCCAGAAAAAAAAAATGAAAGTTTATGTTTACTTGTCTATGGAAAGCTTAGCAACAGGAAGTTAAGCACCGTTTCTTAGGGAAAAGATGATTTGATCATGCAGAATGGTTTCATATGCATCTCTTCCTAAGCATCATGGCTGAGGACATCCGCAGGTCATAGTTTGGTGTGTGCATTAGTATGTACGTGTGTCTGTGTATGTATGTGTTTGTGTTATGTATGTATGACCAGACCTCAGAACATGCTTACCTAATCTCTTAAATTTCAAATTGTTTCTCTGCGACTATGACACCTGCTGGCTCCACAAATTGTGCTCTTATAATACAGGTGTTTTAGTACTTACCAACAGATAAAAATTAGGAGAGATCTATTGTGGTCCATGGAAGACCTTTGAAATAAAATACTGTGTGATTCCAGTTAACTAGGATATCTGAAGAAGTCAAAATCATAGATTCAGGCAACCAGTCATAGAATGGTGGTTGTCAGGGGATTGGCGAAAGGGAGAAAGAGAGTTGCTTTTCAATGTATATAAATTTACAGTTATTGGAAAAACTGGTGACATGGTGGTTAAGGCTACTGAATCCAACATGGCGGACTGCACAGGCCAAGTCCAAAATCTGGTGGCTTGGGAAACATGTCAGGCATGTGTACATGCATGCCCACATCATGAAAGAAGAGATTGTGGCATGGTCATTCTCCCTGGTAAAGTGGTCTCTGTCTCTCTGTCTATCTGGTGAGTGCATATGCTCTATGACAAAAATAAAAAAAAACACACAGCAAGGTTATCACCTACACAGGCTACATCACCCAGGTGTACTTTTTCCTACTCTTTGTAGCATTGGATGACTTCCTCCTGAGCATGATGGCCTATGACTGGTATGTGGCCATATGTCACCCCCTGCACTACACGGTCATCATGAACCCCTGGCTCTGTGGAAAGCTGGTTCTGGCATCCCAGATCCTGTGTATCCTGTATTCCTTGTTACATACCTTAATGGCATTGTGGCTGTTCTCCTGTACACATGTAGAAATCCAACACCTTTTCTCTGATCTTAATTAGGTGGTCCACCTTACCTGCTCTGACACTTTTTTTTTTAATGACATTGTGATCTATTTTGCATCTGTGCTGCTGGGTGGTGGTCCCCTTGCTGGGATTATTTATTCTTACACTCAATTCATGCATTCATCAGCTCAGGGCAAGTACAAAGTATTTTCCACCTGTGCCTCTCACCTCTCAGTTGTCTCCTTATTTTATTGTACACTCTTAGGTGTGAACCTTAGTGCTGCCACTACCCACAGCTCACACTCAAGTGCAACACACTGTGGTCACCCCCATGCTGAACCCCTTCATCTACAGTCTGAGGAATAAAGACATAAAGAGGTCCCTGAAAATAGTCTTTGGAGGGAAATTATGAAAATATTATTGGACTGGAACTGAAATAATGCCTATGGTTGGATGAAGGGAGTCTCTGCAGGATCATGCCC